AGCACAGCGCCATCGGGGATCTGGCATAGGTCGACCTGGCTGGGGCTGGGGGGCTGCGCTGGCTCTGCCTCGCCGGGAATGCCATCAGGCACATCGCCCCCGCCGCCCTGGCTCCTGCCAAGATGCTGGAGAAGCTGCACCTGGAGGGAAACCGCCTGGCAGAGGTGCCCACGGCAGCCCTGCGAGGTCTGCCCGCCCTGAGCGAGCTGAAGTTGTCCCAAAACCCCATCAAGAGCCTGGGGGATGGCTCCTTTCTGCCGGTGGCCTCCAGCCTGCAGCACCTCTACCTGGACAACATGGGCCTGGAGCGGGTGCGTGTGGCTGGGGGCACCCGGGGGGGAGTGGGGACCCCCGAGGGGCAGGGGCACCGCAGGGCGCAGCCATAGGGTCCCATCTCCTTCCAGCGCCCAGGGCTGGTGGCCTCTATAGGGGTGTCCCAACGGATGTCCCAAACTCCCAAAGGCTTTAGGAGATGCTCCAGAGCCTGGCTGAGAGGAGAGGCTGCCTTGGGCTTGCTCCAAACTGTCTCCCAACTCCCCCTGGGACAGCCTTGCTCCCTCCGGTCCTTAAGGACACCCAAATTCGGTGGGGTCCAGACCATTCCCCGAACCTCCCCGCCTTCCCCCAGCCCTGACCTTATTTCTCCTGCTCTTACTATGAGCCGTCCTGCGGGACTCTTCACCGCTATTACCCTGAATTCCTCCATCCTCTAAAGCAAGCGGCGTCAGCACCGCTCTCGTAAGGACCATCCACCTTTAACAGTGCCCACGGATCGCTCCAAGACCTCCCCCATGTCACCTTCTTTCCAGGAAAACCGAGCAGGGTCTAGCGAGTCCCCAAATGTGACCGAAACTGGTTAATTAACAGTCCCCAAACACATGCGCTGCTGTTTAAAACAGCTCTTTCACAGGGCCACCAGATTCAGGACAAGGTCTCAGCCCCCCAAGCTGATCAGCAGTGCAGGGCAGAGATTTGCTCCCCTGCCCCCACGAGACTCACCCTCCTGTCGTTGCAGATTTCCCCCGGTGCCTTCGCTGGCCTCGGTCCCAAGATCAGAAGCCTCTACCTGGAGAGCAACAAAATGAGGAACGTCCCCGACATGAGCAACTTCACAGGGCTGGAGATCCTCAACCTGAGGGACGTGCCTTTCCACTGCGACTGCCAGCTCCTGCCCCTGCGCAGGTGAGTGCTGCGAGGCGGGGGAACAGCCCCGGGGGGAGAACTGGACCCTGCTGTGCCGCAGGCACAAGCCCATGGCACGCTGGCCGCTTTGGGTCTTCTGCGGTGGTGAAACAGAGTGCGCACCTACGAGTGAGGCTGGAAGTAGCCTGGGCTTTCCTAGCCTCGTCTGCCCGGGTGTGGTAAAAGCAGCCACAAGGTGGGGTGGGCAGATACTCAGAAATCCAAAGGTCACCCAGGCGAGACCCTGAGCAACCTGGCCTGGCTTTGAAGTGACTCGTGCGCACTCATGGGCGTGGGTTTTTGCCTCTCCCCTTTCCCCGTCCTCTTCCTTTCCCTGATCTCCTGCCACGTTTCCAGGTGGATCGACAAACTCAACCTCCGTGTCGGGGCCACCTGCGGCTCCCCTGCAGAAACCCGAGGGCTGAAGGTGAAGCTTTCCACCGCTTTCCAAACCTGCCCCGGCTGGGGCCGAGGTGAGGCTGGGGAAGCCAGTCCTGGCAAGACCAAAGCTGCAAGCAAGCCCAGCAAGAAAAAGAGATCTGGAAAATCACCAGCCAGAGGCTTCAAGAAGAGCAGAGCTTAGGAAACGTGCGCAGGACACAACAGGGCCGTTCCCGCAGTGTGGTGAGAGCAGGTTTTCTAGACTTGTCCCACTGTCACGACGTGGATACTGCACACAGGGCATAGGAGAGAGCCTGGTGCCACCGAAGCGATGCTGATTTGCCAAAGATGCGGAGTTTGTTTTGGCAGGAGGCAGAGGCACGTTACCCTAGAAAGAACTGATGCAAAAAGCTTCCTTAGTGTTTGCAGCATGCTTTGATGACTCCAACAACAAAGCTAAATACTTGCTTTTTCTTCCTAAGGCTCCCTCCAGCCATGCGGAAAAGCTGGAATCCGCAACTATGTTTTGTTTTTTAAGAGTGCTGTGCTTTCACAGCTTTAGAAATGATGGAAGAGCCCTGAGCGGGACTGCAAACAGCATCAACGCAAGATCCCGCATGGGCTCAAATCTTAGAGCAGAAAACTTAAAATTTATCACCAGTGAAAACATTGCCTGAATTCCCAGCAGCTCCTCAGAATTAAAACATAAGCAGATTGAAACCTTTCTATTTCCTGCAAAATTTGGTCAGTGGTCCGATCGGTGGAACGGGATCACTGATCCCGTGAGCGATCCCATCATAAGCGATGTGCCCAACTTATTCCCCATGGCAGCCCAGGTTGGGAGCCCTCCAGCCCCATTTTAAAGTCAGAAGTTGGTTCAAATTGAGGCTTTAAAAGATAAACACTTGTAGCCATGAAATGACCGTGTGGGGCGTGGAACTGTTACAGCAAAAACAACAGGAGGAAGGAAGCCAAAGGCATTTTGAAACGTCCATCCTAGAAAAGCAGGTGGCCCTACAAGCCCAGCTGTTTCGCAAGGCTGGGGAAAGGTGGCAGCCCAGGAGGGAGGGGAAGAGAGAACCACAATGGCTTTGCCCTGAAAAGAGATCCTCCCGCATCAAGCCATCCAGTTGCGAGCTGGCGAGACGCAGAGCTAGCAGGACAGGCAGGGAAGCCCCGTTACACGCCTTCCATAAAAATCCCACCCCCTCTGCCCCACGCTCACCTCATCACGATTTCCCCGGGAGCCCAGGGCCCTCCCGGGGGTCAGTTAGGGATAAGCCGAGGTGGCACAACTCTAGCGGCCGGTCTGACACAGACCCTCCACGTTTTTTCCACTTGTGTTTCACTGCTCCCCCACGGCCCTTTCTTCCCTCTCCCGTTAAAGGCTCTGTTTACCTCTTTAGAAGGGAAAAGAGGAAGAGTGTGCTAATTACTCCCAGCCTCTACCCTGTGTTTTCTAGGCAGCTTGCCAACAATTTTTTTTTGGTCATGAACCACTGTGCAAAGCAGGAACTATTTTGGCATCACAAGCTGTCACCTGGAAGCTTGAGAGGAAGATGGCCAAGGCAGCCATTTCGTGGCCAAGGCAGCCATTTCGTGGCCTCAACTTTGAAGGCCAGGCTGGGGAAAGAGAGGAATGTTACAGTTTTGCACTAAAATGGGAAATGGCATCCCCTGCCTTATCTAATGCACCTCTGTGATATTCAGCCCTCACGCAGAACTGCGAAGCAGACAGCAGCGAGTGCACAGAAAAACCCCTACTGCATGCCTCAAAAAAAGTAAAAAACCCACACCAACTCAAACCCAAACCACCGTTCACTTACACCTACCCACTTCACTTACACCTAGCCCTCTTCTCCTCCCCATCTTGGCTAACACTGGTATTTTGGTGACCGAGAAAGCAATAGGCAAGCCTTTGGCCGCTTCCTCGAGTTTAATTCACAGGGCTCTAGGGTACACATCGTAGATCAAATTTACAGGACTGCTAAAAAAATTAAAATTTCAAACTGTGTACCATGTCCTCTGCAATTCTGGGTTCAAAAGCAAGAAATTATGACATTCAAAAAGGTCTCTTGCTCCCTCAAGAGGCATCATCATCCCTTTTTGTTGTTTTTTGTTGTTTTTTCCACCTCTTTCCACTCTTCCTGTCCTGACTTCCTCGAGGGTTGCAGGGCCGAGACCAGGGAGCGCAGCACCACTGTCCTACGAGGGCAGCCGATTTCCTGACACGTGTGACCTGCACACATCATCTCAGACCGTAGCTTGCCCCCTCCAGCCACAGCCGAGAACCCAAACTGCCCCTTCATGCTCCGGCAGCCTCCTTCCCCGTTGGGAGCTCCTGCTCAGCAAGGTGCCTTCAAGGCCAGGCACACACAACCCCTGGCCATGCTCCTCAGCACGCCCGTGGCCTTTCTGGAGTCTCTTCCCCAGGGCTCAAAAATTACAAGTCTGGGGGAAATTTTCTTGCACACCAGGAAAGCAGAGTTGTGATGTTGCAGGGTGGTCTGCCCCAAAAAGGGAAGGCCCTTTTAGTCTTCTGCTTCCCTTTGCCAGGATCTTCCCCAAAGAGCTACAAGGTGAAGCACAGGCTGCTGTGGGCAGCTGGGGGATACTCCGGGATCAGTCTGTGACCTCCTGCTTTATGCTGCTGACAGGAACGGGAAGCTCTGTGGCTTCAAACTCTGCTACCGAGGGGTCGATAGTTTCTTCTTTGACCTGCACGGCAATGACTAGCAAGAGACAAAAAGAGAGAGGGAAAAATAAGTAAGTAAAATCAACCCATGCTGTCTCTCCCTACCTGCAGCACCCCAGAACCAGCTCTGCTCACGCAGATACTCAAAATGCCCCAGGTTTCCAGCCCACTTCGGGGTCCCTTACCACAGGCAGCCCTGCCCTGCCGCCACAAATCCATCCACGGTCACAGCAGCAGTGACTAAACCCTGGGAGGGGACTAAACCCTGGCAGCATTCAGCTCCCTGCTCCCAAGAACAACTTTCCCTCGGGCTGAGGGAAGAAAAGCCAGTGCGGTTCATCCTCTATCTGCCTGGCTCCACAGAGGGGAAATTAAACCTCTGTGAGCAACAGGGACCTTCGTGAGGCTCCATCATCCCCATGCGCACAAAGCACCGCACCCACCCTCTTCCCCAGCACCCACTAGGGTTGGCAGGTGACCTAGCTGCTCTTCTGGTTACATCTCTTGATGCTCAGCACGATGGGCTGCGTTCACATCCTGCGACAGCCTTTACGGGGACTGGGATGTGACAGCACACCTCTGACACGTCCATCTTGTCTCTCCTCCCTAACTGACCTCACACAACCAGACTGCTTAGTACAGCAGCCAGGCCCTCAGCAGGCACCAGCACTATCAAGGTATCTAGCTGTCCTGGTGTCACCAAACCTTCTCAGGAGGCAAAATTCCCCAGGGAAAGCAGGTAAAGGCTTTCTTCCATTCTCCGTGTCTCTGGAGGAGCAGGGAAGGGTATATGTCACTATGCTGCCTTTCCCTGCCTTGGGCCGCCCACGACTTAAGGGGCCAGAGGCAGCACAGGCCTCAGGAGGGCCGGGGGCACGCAGGGCGTACGCGAGAGAGTTGCACGTGGCTGCCGAGCAGAATAACTCACTCCCTTACTCTCATCAGGCGCTGGCTCTGGCAAAGCCTTGCTGGCAGCTTTTGCTTCTCGTTTCATCTTCGGGGTGGAAGGCTTCTTGACAGTCTGCTTGATGTTGCGGGTTTTGGCAGGTAACTTTTTTCCTTAACAAAGAGATAACAGAGCATGGGGAAAAGCGTGTTTCTTTTCCCCTGGAAAAAAATCAGCAACCCTGCTCCACTGAGAAACCACAGGCCAGGGACCAGCACAACTGACCAGCAAGCTACACGGTCATTAGCTGCCAGCTGGTTACTTGACAGAAATGGCCTACTGGAGAAAACCTCTACAGTCATCATCTCAAAATATGCTCCTCCACGTTCTCCTTCATTAAAGGCAAGGCACTGCAGCGTGTGCTTAGCTTCCGAGGAGCAGGTGCGGTAGGAATCAGTCTGGAGTCAGCTTTGCTTACCTGTCTGGGTCTAGTCCTAGGCAATGGGCATGCTGGCTGCAAGGCATGGACATTGGAGCAGTAATGTTTGCATTTTTAGTTTTATTTAGGTTCAACACCTTTATATTCTTTAGATGTCCTTTCCTCTCCACCCCCCAGGAAGGAATTGCTCGCCTGTCTACACGTGATTTGCCACAGCTACTGCAACAGTGACGACAACAACGACAAGATGAAACAAGAACATTGTCCAGCCCCACCTCCGGCCTCTTCAGCCATCTTAAGGCCTTCTTTCCCGCAGCACAAAGCAGGCAGGGTTGCTCTCCAGCCACCCTCCAGCTGCAGCAAACAATCTCCCTCCGACCACAGACACGTCAGGGAAAGCAGCACAACCTCACGCCTGGAAGCAAGCGCCTTCTATTCCTCGGCCAACAGAAAACGGACCGCAAAACAGCTCCTTCCCACACACAGAGCTCTCTGCTCTTTTAGGTCATAGGGCAGTTAAGAAGGATGAAGCTGTGTGGTCAAACCCACAGCCGACTGAGGGCATCCACAGCGAGACAAGGCCTCTCTCTCCTGCTCTGACAGGACATGGACAGGGTTCCTCTAACTGGGCCCAGCCTGCGAGCGAGCGGGAGGGCACTAATCAAACATCACTCACTCTTCTTTCCATAGGGTTTCTTCTTCTTCTTGGGCACCTCCTTGGCCTTCACTGGAGTTGTGGGCTCTGTCATGGAGACGAGAGGGAAACGAAAGCCAAGTCCCATAACCAGTAGGTAACTGGGATGAAGTGACATAAGCGAGAAACAAGATACACCCGTCCCCCCGAGCCAACGCCCTCTTCCCAAGACAACCAGCTGAGGGGAAAGCAAGGCTCTAGCCCAGTTGCTGTCTGTGCTTCCAGGCGAGGGCCCAGGGCGGCAGGCTGGGGCAGCACAGGGGAGAGAGGCCCAGTAGAGATTTGGCAGGGGCAGTAAAGAAATGAGATTCGTAGCTTGGGACAAGAAGGAAAACATCCGCAAAGGTGAGGCAGTGGCCTCCCTGTGATAAGGGAAGGAATAAACTCTTGAGAGGGATGTTCTTACCTTTTACAGAGTCAGAGAATTGATAAGAAAAAGGGAGCAGGGGCTGAGCTCCCCCTGCTACCTGGCTGAGGTTGTAGGTATGCTTAGTAAAAGGGAGCTGTGCGGGGACAGGACAACCTGGAACTCTACCCGACTTCATCAGGAGCAATTCTCTGTTGGCGTGCAGGTGGGGGAACAGAGGGAAAACAGAGCCAACCTCAAATCTCAGGCTGTTTTCTCCCCACCAGACTCCTCCCCTCTGCCAGCTGCTAGAATGTGTGGCAGTAGAGGAAGACTTATGGTAGCCAGCACAAATCAAGGAGGCAATTTTCTCCAAAAAAAGAAAAAAAAAAAAAAAAGAGGAGCCACTCACAGAGCAGGAGGAAGGAAACCTTTACCTCTAGCGCTAGAAACCACAGCAAAATCTTCACTCACCTGGAACAACAGGTGGTTGAAGCTGGTAGCCTGTCAGCTCGCACCACCCCACAGGATAAATGTCTGGAGACTCGCAGTCCACCCACTGGTCATACTCGTTGTCCCAGCCATCAAAATGGATGCTAAGGAGACGGTGGACTACACGCTTCACCGTGGCCACGCAGATGAGCCGGGGTTCCATCAGGTCCACTGCTTCCACCTTCATGCCTGCCTTGAAGCCGTGGTTTGGGCAGTCCTGAGTGCAGAAAAAAATGAAAAAAGAACATCCGAGGCCATTGCACCCAGTCCAGACCCGCATCTGGCCACCAGCACCCTAAAAGGGACTTGCCTCCAGCTTAAAAGAAGCTGAGAGAGAAGCAGCCCACAGTTGCGCAACAGAACCAAGCAGTCACATACCAGAAGGGGGGCACATATGAACAGATCCAAGGCCAGCTGTGTCCTTAGTGAATCTCAGCCCAGCCTTTAGAAACCAGATCCTGACCAAGGGGGAGCAGCAGGCAGCAGTTAAGGGACACCCGATCAAACCCATTAACCTGAAATAACTCTGGGAGAGGAGAAAGCCCAGCACAGGCCCAGGTGCTGCAGCAGTTTTGCTGATGCTAAAGCAGACCCCCTCCACCCACGTGCCACCCACATGTCCACAGGTAATAAGCACTGCAGAACCTACCAGGAGCCTGGAGCTCCTGGAAACACCGGAGAATCGCAGGTCGCACATCCACAAAAGGTACGACACTGCTCGTCCCCACCAGCCGAACAGGGCCTTGCCTTGGAGAGTACACACTCCTGTGCCTTGGGCTCTCCTTGGAATTGCCGACTGGCAGCAAAGAGCAGCCCAGTAGAGACATTGGGTATTGTCTGTCCTGACTTCAGCGAGGCTTTTGACACTGTCTCCCGTAAGATCCTCACAGAGCAGCTGATGGAAGTATAGGCTGGATGAGGAGACAGTGAGGTGGACTAAAAACTGGCTGAGTGGCTGGGCCCAGAGGATGGTGATTAGCAGCATAAGGTCTAGCTGGAGGCCAGTAATTAGTGGTGTACCCCAGGGGTCAATACTCGATCCAATCCTGTTCAGCATCTTCATTAATTATCTAGATGACACGACAAGAGTGTCATGTCAAACTCCGCACGTTTGCTGGTGACGCAAAACCGGGAGGAGACACTGATATACTAGAGGGTTGTGCTGCCATCCAGAGGGACCTCAACAGGCTGGAGAAATGGTCTGACAGGAACCTCATGCAGTTCAACAAAAGGAAATGTAAAGTCCTGCACCCGGAGGGGAACAACCCCAGGCACCAGCACATGCTGGGGGCCGAGTGGCTGGGAAG